TTCGACGACGTTTGGCATGGTTTAGTCGAAAACAAATTCGTTCCGCTGAGACGAGGAAGAAAATCGACACAGGATCTAGCAAGGGCGGAGACATTCGTTGTGCTTGGATTTGCTAAACCTCTGTCAGACTGAAGCCGAGGAAACACTTTCGAAGTGCTTCCAGAGAGAAGCGCAATGACGGCAGCAGACACGAGTACTACGTGAACGCAGGCAGACGTGCATGAGGAAGCATTTCGTCCTGGAATCCTGCAGCGCCTCCTGCCTGATCACTCGAAGAAACTTGAAGCAACTGCGTCGGGCCCAATGAGCATTGCCAATATCGTGGGCATAGCACGAACAGTCGGGAAGTTGAGGGCGCACAAAAAAGCAAGCTTGGCGCTTGTCGGTCACTTGGGATTCTGCTAAACTGAGACTGCAAAGCGCAGCACAGGACTATTCGGCGCCTCCCCAGCAGAAGAGCTTCAAGCTGTGCTCGTGCAAGGCGGCATCAATAGTGTGAAGATTGGCCTGCAAGCTTACGGTTTACGACGCTTACGATCTAAACAGGGCATGCCTGCACCATGCCAGGTTTTCGAGTAGAGCTTGGTGGACAGACTCTCTGGTAATGCTCAGCACTTCAGCATGTCGCAGACAATGCTTCTGGCGCCTCACACTCACCGTCGAACACCACTCCGAGGCAGTCCTCAATCGAAACATGACACATGAGAAGCTCAGCAAATCAGAACTTTACGGGGCCGGGCCGGGCCGGGCCGGGCCCCGCTATAACAACGGAACCCGCCCCGGGAAGCCCTCTCATCCCCGACTTTACCCGCAGTCCTGCACGGCGGAACAAAGGCAATGAGCTAAACCACGACCTGAGCCAGGAGCCGGCGGAAGGGTGGGCCTACCATAATTCACAAAGCCGGAAAGCTGCAGAATGCTTTTGGTGCCTGTCAGGTTGTAGTTCAAAAGGGCCACCTGCCCAAGAGTCCTACACAAGCCAGTCCAGAACTCGGCACGGAGCGACCTGCCTTGACCCCAATTTTCGCCTCATTTGTCTCAGAATGTGGCGCTGTGACCCTTGTCCCGTGCTCGTGAAAATCATCCAACTCTCAAATAGACCGGGCTAGCCACCATGGCCAACCACCAACAGACGTACTCCGGCTTGTTCTCCATCATGAGCGCCAGGGCCTGAATCAGGGGATATCGTTCTAATTGGCACATTGCGTGTTGCCTCCTGTGAACGGCTATCGGCTGTTCGTCCCTTCGACCCAATGTGCAGCTCGAGCTTCCACAAGTATGTCGTGCTTGTAGAGTTTATCATGACCCCATAACCCTGAAACCTCCCGAGAATGCTTACAAAGTTCAGACTTGCGGGGAGGTCGCGGAGCTTGCAGCATGTCAACAAAACTTGCAGCATGCAAGGCTCATACCATGGAGCAACGCCCCAGCCGGAAAGTGAAAGGGGAAGCTGCAAACTTGCAACAGCCACATAAAGCTTTCATCATGCCGTCGCCTGCCCAGGTTGAAAGCCCTCCTGCCGTAGCAGATGTGCCATCTGATTGGACACCCTGTCCACATCCTCAGGCTGCTTGGGGTGCATCCGACAGACTGTCGGCTCTGCAGGCTCCCTAGGCCTGGAAAGTCATCCTACGATGCTCGAAGACAATGAACGTCTCACTGCCGAAACGTCTGACAGACTCCAGCCACCTGGACAAGAAAACTGCACAAACCAACAACGCCGACTACCGAGATCAAAATCAGGCCGGCTGGGCACATCTGCTAAGGAATGACCTGAACTCCGACACTCAAAGCCTCAACACCACAAAGTTTTGCCACATGCCAGTCTTGTTCGGAACTGAGCATGCTGCTGCTCAACCGTAGGCCTTGGCTCACGTTTATGCGTATTGCTAGCCCTTCAGCCCTTCTTCACGAGGCCCTTGTTGTAAACTCGCTTGAGCTGTGTGCAGTCGAGACACGCCTCCGGAGAGCAATCAAGGTGGGGAGGAGGTTCATGCCAAGTCTCGCATCGTTTATCAAGCGAAACCTGCGAGATGGCGCCGGGAACCGAATCGGAGTGTCGCGCGATGCTGGAATGGCACTATTTTGAAACGATGACGTGCCCCCGGGCTCGGGCTTCCTGTCCAGGGCAAAGGCGGCGGCCAAGGCTCCGACTCCTGCGAACAGCAGACAGCACAGAAAGACTTGGGCTCGGCGGTTCTCTGCGACCTGCCAAGGGCGTCGCCACCGACGAGCCGCGATTGTTTGCCATCGCGGTATTGCCGCGGCGGGTGTATGCCCCCAAAAGCTTTACAGAAAGCTGCAAAGTTGAAGAAGTTGACCCTTCCCGAACTTGATCCTACACAACACGGACTTGCAATATTGTCATGCAGACGGAAGCCATGCTGTTCCACGGCCTCAGTTGACATGGAACGAGCTATGCCAAAAGCTTGAGGAAGAATGCAAGCGGGATTTTTGCCGCAGGAACTGTAATCAAGTCCGAAGCTCATATCGCCGTTTTCACAACAACAGCCTGCAGCAGTCTACAATGCAGAATCGTGCACGTACGGCAGTTACAGTCTGTTAATCGTGCACATGCGGTAGTCTGCAGTCTAGAATCGAGCATATGCTGCGGTCTACGGTCTAGTATCGTGCACATGCGGCATGCGAGTCAATACTGCCGAAGGTACCGTCTTGAAGTCCCGTCGAGAGGGCGTGATGCGCGATAGTCAAAGTAAGGCCCAAGTAACCTCATTTCCAATTCGGTGTGTTCGCAAGTGTCAAGTCAAACACTGGAAAGCCACTGATCATGCTCAAACTGGCTCAAACCCTTTTCTTCCTAACGCAGTGTGAAGGCTGCGTGCTGTTGACTTTGAATTACTGCCTTCCGACATACATGGACGGGGCTAGCATCCAAATAATGGTGTGCCGCCAGCCCACTGGTCAAAACTCAACGCAGTCCAATGCCTTCGCAGCCTCTCCGGAGCTGCGTGCGACAGGCTGGGCATGTGCTACTGGGCTTTGTGGAACCAGTGCTCTCAAGATCATCGCCGGGGACTGCGTTCTCGGTCGCGAGCGCCGCCACCTTTGCAGTACATTGCAACAAGCCGCCCAATCTGCAACCGGATTCTCGAGCCTCCCAGCTCTCCGCAATCCTCACTGGAGCATGCGTTGCATCAGACTCGTACAGACATTCACGATGCTGCAGGCCTCAATCACAACCGGTCGCCGAGTCCTGTGCGCAGCATTGGAGACAGCAAGAGCCGCATCTGCGTGCCACGTCACAGAGCGGGTCTGAGGTAGAGTCTTGCCAGAACCAGTCCCCTCTTTCTCAACAAGCCGCACCTCAGACCAAGAGACTCTGCCTCCGACCTGTGAGCCATTCCTCTGTCTCAGCAAGGCACAACGTCCATGCCCTCAACCACCTGCCAGAGTCCGTAAGATCGCTAGATGGGAACACTCTTCGTGGGCCCGCTTGGCCTCGAATTCCGCCTTTTCTGAGAAGCTTCGGCGTTCTCCAAAGTTCGCAGTCGTGCTCGCGCCACACCGCCACAGTCCAGTTTCCGATACAGTGCTCCCCCGACAGTGCCGTGCACAATTTGGGGTGCATCGCGCATGTCTGCGGCACCGATTCCCGACTGTCAATCCGATGGTGAGGTCCAGTCGATTCCAAGCAGCTAGGTACTCGGCAATTTGCAGCAGGAGATCGAAAGCGGGAATCGAGCGCAAGCAACAGCTGTTGGTGCCCGATCTCGAACTATTATGTGCTCTTTCATTGGAGCAAGAATTGGTTTGTTGTCTCGGTTTGATTGATTGGTAGTCTTTTGCTTTCTTCGTACGGAGGTGTGGGTCTTCGGCACGTCACGTGATGTTCGCGACGTTCGTCCTCGTCTGCAGGAGATTCTTGCTGGTGCAGTTTGTCGGTCGTGTTGTGTCCATTTTCCGGTTTACGGGATTCAAGAAACCTCATACTCAAGAGAATCCCCTTGCTTCTCGAGCGAAACCCGACTGAAGGATTTCCCTAAGCTAGGGGCATCTTCTGTACGAGTCCCTAAATAGGGAATGTGTTGTTCAGGGTCGATGTTTGAAGCAGGGTTCTGCACTTTCTGAAACTAGCAGCTCGACTCGACTTTCGAATGTGGTGTCTAGGTTAGATAGCTAAACAGTTTAGGGGCTCTAGCTCTTTCCAAATCCTGCAGGTCTAGCCACCCCCAAATTCTGAAGCTATCTCTCCCTTCCAGGAGTCAATTTCAGAGGCAAAGAGGTATATTCGTGTTTTGATTTTGTAGGCTGCATAGGAGTTGAGGGATTTACCATGACCATTTGCGTTTGGACGGTTTGGTGGTGAAAAGAATATGGGCAATGCTTAGCCTGATGATTTGTTTTCGGACGGATGAAACGAAGGTTCTAGGCAATACTTAGCATGGTTATTCGTGTTTGGATGTATAGAAAAAGGGGTGCTTAGTATGACTATACGTGGCGTTTAGGGAGAATAAGCAGAACTTGGTAGGACCACCTGTGTTTGGACGGTTAGGGCAGCAGAAAAAAGAATGGAGGTAACACTTGGCATGACTAGTTGTGTTTAGTCGGAAAATCTCGGATAGTAAGAGGATTATAGGCAATACCAGGCATGATCATTCTTGCCTGGATGGTGTGGGTTGCACAGGAGGTCAAGGATTACAGGCAGTACTTAGTACGACACATTGCGTTTGGACGGTTTGATGTGGCAGTTATAAGGTTCTGGGCAATCCTTAGCATCCTTAGCATGATAATTTGTGTTCGGATGGGTGATACGAAGATGATATGCAGTACTTAGGATGGCTACTCGTGTTTGGATGGTGTTGGATGCATTTTGTGCCTTGGTTTCCTTCCTTGTTTCGGTCTAACTGTTTCTCATTATGTTCTTCTGTCGTTCTGTCTTTCTTCCTGTTGTCCTGTCTTTCTCTCTCTCTCTCTCTCTCTCTTTCTCTTTCTTGCTTTCTTTCTGTTTCTGTGCGAATTCATCTTATGCTTTCCCTCCCTCACACCCCCAACCAAAACGAAGCTAACAAGATCAAGAAAAGTTGAACAAAAAGACATCCGACCGCTGGGACGTTTGCATAGCGGGTCCCTCGCCAACTCCCGCTCCCGCGCACTCTCACGCTCGCCGCTCCTGCCTTGCCGAAGACTACGTGTTTGCCATTCAAGTGTGGCGTGGCCTCGAAATAAATCCACCAAGGTACTTATAAACTGAACTCTGAGCAGCTCGCCGTCGTGCACAAAAAGAACTGCGATCCGTTGGTGTGAGGCCTTGCATGAGTCTCGAGCTGCGACATGTGCGATCTCGCTGTCGCAGCTATCTTCAATTGTAAGACCTCGACCCTGCGTTTGCCATGGACAGAATGCCAGGTCCAGTGTGCTTGTGTTTGAAATTCTCATCACCTCATGAACTTGGCATCTGCTACTCTGCTGCCAAGCCTGCGAAGATGTATCCACGGTACGCGCAAAAGCAGTGTTGCAGCATATCGCATCTGTGCGCTAAGAGTTTGATGTGTGGATCAACATATTCGTCTGAGGAGAATTTGACGAAACCCGACATACAAAACGGCAACACAGCAATGCAGCTGTAAAGGCCGTGCTTCCCGAAGTTACAACATGCCCGGGACTTGGCAGCCGTTCCTAGTGCAGTCAGTCTTGACATAGTGCACGAATCATTGAGGTAGCTGCCGAGTCCCCCTCACGCGTGTACGGATACACACACATGCCAACTTGAACCCTGGTGTCTTGCCCCCTCCTGGAGATCAAAGTGATACTGGAAGGTTGGAAGTCAAACTTCATGACGGCGATACCGAAGAACTCTGAGCTGCGTTTCAACAATCTCAACCTCAAGGTAAAAGAAAAGCTGTTTCTCAGATGTGAGTTGAACGGCTCTTGCACGGCTCACGGCTTTGCTTGAGAAGAGGGAGCACGCAAAGCGATGTTGAAAACAAACCCATGCCACTAATCTGCAAACGGCTTTACAGCGTGCAAACAGAGCCGAGAAAGCCCTTAAAGCAGGCAAACAAGACCGAAAGCAGTCAATGTTCTTACCCTCAGTTTTCCATCGGCCCCACAAGAGACAACAAATCAACTCACACTGTACGTTGAAGATGACTGGCAAGAAAATGCAGGGCATCTTCACTGAGTGGCATGCTGAATACTCAATACCACATGGAAGATTCCTGGCAGAACTTTCCCAGAAGTCTTCTATCTTCGTTAGCAGTATTGAGATTCGTGACTTTGCGACGGGCCCAACAGTAGTCAGTAGTATAACGGCTTTGTTGAAGCAAGCCAACATGCAAACACCATCGCAAAAAGAGGCATGCTTAAAAGCTTGTGCACACTTCCGAAAGTCAAAGGAGCCTGTTAAGCTTCAGTCTGTCATGAAGGGCCCGGCTCAATCAAAGGGAAGAGCATGTGCAGGGAATAGTGTCATTCAACACTTCGCTCATCTCCGGTACAGCTGTCCTACGAATTCCTCGTTCTCCTGTTGGGAGGGATAAATGTTTAAAACTCCTCCAACAATCACCGTGAAGTTCCGGGTTCGTCGTGGGAAAACGGGTGCCTAGATACTGAGCAAAGGCTACGCATTAACGACACAGTCAGGACAGTTCGGGGGTTCCGGCCGGGGCTGGGATGATTTGCATGAATGCATGTGTATATACATTCATGTATGTGTATATAGGTATAATATGTATTTATGTATGTATATGTAAACATACACATAATTCTCGCGTAGCTGCACAAAAACATAAAAGGAGCATAACTATATATGTATGTATATACCTACATGCACACATACACATGCAATGACGATGACATGTGTTTATGCAGGCAAAGTCAAAACTCTGACGGATTGGATTCACAACCAAGCGCATCACCACGACTACACGACGGTGGAGCTTCGGGGAGTCAAAGAGAGGAGGTTGGGGACTGTTTTGGCAATGCGGGAAGAGGAGGCAAGAGGAGCAGCAGGATGAGGAGGAGGGATTCCGGGTCACTTCCAGTGTAGTGTTGCGCAAAAATGGTCCGTAACAGATCGCGTCTAGAGGAGAAGTATGCCTTCAACATTTTTGCAAATGTCTACACGGCGACATTTGCAATTCCGTTCGGCCTTGCCACATCTCTTGCTTTGGGACATCTCGGACAAGACTCAAGAAACATGCATGGAACCAATAGCACTCATGCCGAACGTGTGGAAGCATTGTCTTGGCGCGCACAACTTCTGAATCCCTCTCGAAAAACAGTGCTTGAAGATGGAGGATGCTTTGCAAAGGGACTTGTTTCCGGGTTGAACACGGGACAACCGGCAGAAGCCCGCTGAAGTCACCAGCACGACCAGCACTTCGAACAGAACACAACTTGGGCGCAACTGCAGTTCTCTTCCAAACAACGATCGCATCGACTCCACAGCCGTCCCGACACCGGGGTCCAACAGGGAGCCACAACAATCGCATGATGCTGCCAACTTGGTCCAAAGCGAAACTTCTCTCCGTAAATCGACCTCAGAAAATCAAACTAGCGAAGCATTTCCGGCCAATCATTGCACGACGACAGGCTTTGGAAAGCAAAGGCCAAGACTCTCCACCAGTACCGTTCCCTTTCGTGAAGTCACCTCCCTGGCCTCAGCACCACGGATACACTCGTTTGCAATGGGCAAGTGTCATCAGAGAACTGAGAGCACAGCACATGAAGTCTGGAATCACGCGGTGAAACCTCAGCTACCCCATTCCGCTCGGGAGGGGTCATCTGCATCTGCCAAAATCTGGGCCCGCTGCGCGCTACCTTTGTAGTGCAAAGGCTTGCCCGAGCGTCCTTTGCCCTGTTCGAAGTCACATGCTCGGCTCTTCCTCGCTGCGATGACGAATCACGCCTTCTCGCCAGTGCACAAGGCCCGAAAATTTTCTGCCGTTTTCGGAACCGTGTCCTCCAACGGATACTTGTTTCTCATGGAATCTTCCGCACACGACATGCTTTGCATCAGCTCCGCGAACAGCTCCATCTCGATGCGTCCGGCCGGGCCTTAATTATCACGATACTCCCGGGTGACTGCTGCCAGAAATTGTCAATGACTGGAACACCATACCGTCACATTGAATAAGATGTCGGCGCCCTCCGATTTCCACATCGAAGAAAACTCGCGGGTTCGGCATGTTTGGAACAATGACTAAGGAATCGCTGGCCACCACACTGCAGGTCGAAGACACCGTTCCATTTCAAGGCGGCTTCGCCAACAACATAGCCAACCCACGAAACACCTCGCTTCACCCCAACAAACCCCATTTCAATGTGCGGGACTTGCTTGTTGTCGCTCGCATTTCTTACGAAACAAACTGTCGGCATCGGCATAAAAACTAATGCTCGATCACTTCAACATCGCTGAAAGATTCTTTCACAGTGCAACCAAACTGTATCATAAGCACAAAAGACTACACCAATGAAAAGAACAATCGTGCCAGTGGTTCCTGAAATTGTTTTCTTTGCCGAGTGTTGCAGACAGTTCCAAAACTTGCTCAACTCAGAGGCCTGCACTTCTTGCCGGAAAAATTTTGTACAATGCCTGCGTTCACAAAAACGATCTTCCAGCAAAGACTCGCTTTTGGTTTCATTTTTGTGAAATCTCTGTGGCATTGCTGCTTCCAGCAAAGTCGCAAACACAAGAATGTCAAGTTTGCTAAAATCATTGTTTCGAGGCCAGATTCGACTGGTTCTTGACAAGCTCGGATTCAACCTGCAGAACTTGAATCCGATTCGGAACTCTGTTCATTTTTAAAGTTGGAGTCAATTTCCAGATTGCGGGGCTGGAAATCGCCGACACGGCCACGACCACGCTAGTGTTTCATAAACTTCGGCCCTTCCAGGGGTCCGAACGGCCCCCGAAGCGAGTTTACTCCGCCTTGCTCCATGCACACGCATTGCAGGGCCGCATCTGGCGGTCCAGGGGAATCAATCTACAAAAGGACGGGGCTGCCATCCTGGCGGCGTCGCTCCCCGGCTGGTTCTACCTCTGCTGTCTCGGGAGCTTGTACTTGCGCTGAAAGCCACTGCGCAGGCCGTGGGCGCACGGGGGGACTTCCTGGGCTGACGGTTGCTGAAAACTCAGCAGGCTGACATGGCCTGGGCTGATCCCGAACGTGACCGACCCAGCACGTCTGGCTGGTCCGCTGCGTATTCCACATTGCGACGGTACTATCCATCACTTGCCGCCCTCCCGTCATGCAACACTCCGCCGGACGAGCCGGACAGCTTTGATGAGCAGGGGCCAGCGAAACTTTGCACGACGTCTTACTGAAGACATGCTAGTGCATGAGTGCATGACTACCCCGCTCAGATGCCCCGCTTCCCAGTTACACTGAGTTGCGCAATGGCACACGCATGAATCCCTTCGTATGGAGGAGGGAAAAACCACAAACTGCAAACCCAGCCCTCTCTGGGAGGGAGGCAGCGCATCAGCGGCTCACAGCCGCGCTCACCAGGGGAACGGGACCGCTTCTCGTGGTTTCCCCTGGGCCTGTTGGCAGTGACGCGCACGCGCGGCTACACGGCTCCTTAATGCAGCGGCAGGCCACCTGCGATAGCATGGGCCTCCCCCCAAATTGGGTTCGAGCCTTCGGGGACGACCAGGCAACGGTGATACGAGAAAAAGACTATGCACACCATGGTGAAACAGGCTGCGACTTGCAGACTTCGCCGGCCACACAGTGCCTCCCCATAGCATGAACTAGTATAACGCCGCACACATCCTGCCCGGCTCCCCGAGAGAAAGGCTCGCTAGGGCACAGGAGCAAGCATGGCCGCAGGGGCAGCGCCTCCACAACCCACGGAGACAAGGTGCATGCCAAGCAAGACGGCAGGTGCACAAGCAAGTTGCTTTCTCAAGCCCAGCTTCCCACCAGAGTGGGCCTCGCAAGGGCAATGGAAGCAGAGCCAAGAATCGAGAGACGAGCCAAGCAGGGCCAGATCGCAAGAGGCTGCATGGCGACATCGACACTGGCAAGGGCAGCCAAACACACATAAACTGCCCTGCAACGCGTGACCGGCAGGGCAACAGCACCACATAGCCATGTACACCGATGCAAGAACGACACGCAGCCCGCGCGGCCCAGCCCAGCTTCCCAACAGGGTGGGTCTTGCAAGGGCACAAAGGGCAGTTCAGACAAGGGGCAGTAGCACCATGAGCACCGAGGCGAGGTGCATACAGAAAAGATGGCTGGTGAGTGACCACATTGCTCTCAAAAGCCCAGCTTCCCACACAGTGGGCATCGCAAGGGCTATCGCCTGGCAGAAAGTGTCCGGAACCTCGTTTTTCCAAATGACAGCATGGCGGGTGTCGCATATAAGGCAGCGCAAAAGGAGCCAAGTCGCACAGCCACTTGGAAGTCGGTCGCAACTCGGAAGCCATGGAGGTTCCTGTGAACCAATGGCGCGAAGCACCTGCCGGGTGGCATCCGATGGTGGGGCCCCAAAGAGCACCAGTATCGACTGTACGGAGGCGTAAGTGACGATTGGCAAGTGACCCGCCGTCAAGGACATCGGGAGTGACAGTAAAACTTCGCCCCTTTGGGAGGCTGGTCCCCTCCCCCCCCGGGGTTTAACCCAGGTTTGAACCTAGGTTTGAACCTGGGTTCCCTCCCCCCGGGGGCGGGGGGAAAAACAACAACAACACAGGGAACCCAGATTTGAAACCTGGGTTTAACCTGGGTTTGAACCTGGGTTTGAACCTGGGTTAAACCTGGGTTCGAACCTGGGTTCAACCCCGGGTTAAACCCAGGTTTAAACCCAGGTTAAAACCCAGGTTTGAAACCCAGGTTATAACCCAGGTTTGGAACCCGGGTTTAATGAACCCAGGTTTAACCCAGGTTAAAACCCAGGTTCAAACTCAGGTTAAACCCAGGTTCCAAACCCAGGTTTGAAACCCAGGTTCTAACCCAGGTTTGGAACCCGGTTTTAAAAACCCAGGTTTAAACCCAGGTTAAAACCCAGGTTTGAACCCAGGTTAAACCCAGGTTCCAAACCCAGGCTTGAAACCCAGGTTCTAACCCAGATTTGGAACCCGGGTTTAAAAACCCAGGTTTAAACCCAGGTTAGAACCCAGGTTTGAAACCCAGGTTCTAAAACCCAACCCAGGTTTGAAACCCAGGTTCTAACCCAGATTTGGAACCCGGGTTTAAAAACCCAGGTTTAAACCCAGGTTATAACCCAGGTTTGAGACCCAGGTTCTAACCCAGGTTTGGAACCCAAGTTTAAAGCACCCAGGTTAAACCCAGGTTCAAACCCAGGTTAAACCCAGGAAGGCTTCAAGGCCAGAGGATTGGTTTGAAGAAAGGCTTAAAGGAGGCCTCAAGAAGAGACCTGAAGGAGGACCGTCTTCGACACGAAAGGAGACGCCCACACGAAATCGCTTAAGGGGGTTAAAAACGAATAAAAAAGAAGCAGAAAGAAAAATTCACACAAAGGCCGCATAAAATCGTTCAGCGGGACCCGCTCTTAAGCTTAATGGGAGGGACTGCGCCCCCCCCCAACCCCTCCGCTTTTGTAAATTGCAAACTCCCGCCTTTGAGGCCGCCTAAACCGTAAAACCTTCAACTCCAAACCCATGCAAAGAAAAATTAACAAAAAGAACAGGATTCAAAAAAGCAAGGATATAAACCCACAAAATCGCTTTGGTTTAACCGCCATAAAACAGAATCGAAGACATGAAATGGAAGGCACGTCTCTCCAACTCTTCTGCTTTTTGCAAAAAACTTTCTGCGCCTTTGATGTCTAAACCGTTTTCAACTCCTGAACAGAGCGAAAATCAACAGAAAAGAACGTGAACAGCCTTTTCAATGCAAAAGCAGAGGCCACACAAAATCGTTTGAGAGCTTTAAAACAAGAAGAAAATAAACGCATGAAAATTCAGAGACACAACAAATACTGCATGAAATCGTTCGAGGCTCGCTCTTAAAATTCATGGACATTCCACACAAAATTGCCTGAGAGGCTAAAAAGCGAAAACATGTTCATAAAATCGCTTTGGGAAGCTTAAACGCAATAATGACTGGTTTTGTAAATTGCACTTCCGCGCGAATTGAAAACCTGCCAACTCAGGTTCAAACGCAGTTCAACTCGGTTCAAAACCCAAGTTTCAGCCCAGATTCCAACCAGATTCTAACCCTCCTGCGGGAATCTCATTTCCCGGCCCGTGGCAGCGACATGCAACGCCAGTTGGATCAATGCTCCCCCTCGACCACGGAGCGTGCATGGTAAGGATGAGAGCCCAATCGGTCAGTTCCACCACGACATTCGACATACGTCGAAAGGTCTTCATGCTCACGAGTCCACAAACCGCATGAAATAGCAGCGAGTTCCCAGCCCCAATGCGTTGCTTGCAGGATGCAGAAGTGCAGAGCGCCTCACTCAGAACCTTGCAATACGCTGTTTTGCTAGGAGCCAGCAAAGTAAATCCAGTTAGGCGATCCCGCCTGGCACATTTGGCATATGATAAGCCATCCACGTCATTTTGGACCAGATGGCGAGAGCAGCTCTTCTAAGCAGTCTGGTTCGCCTCCCCTCACAGAGAAGCCTGTACTGACTGCGCAGAGCTGCCCAAAAGAGTAGAAACCGGGAGGGCGGGCGGGCCTCGTGAGAAAACTTGGCCGCCGCACTTCGAAGTCAAAACAAGCAAGCACGACTACAAAAGTTTACCCTCCCCGTCTGCGACGAAACTCCTACAGCAGCAAAGGAAAATTCATGCTGACATTTGGGGACTGCACATTAAACTCCGTGCGCTCAGCTCACTCAACAATAATGCTCACGAGTCCACAAACCGCATGAAATAGCAGCGAGTTCCCAGCCCCAATGCGTTGCTTGCAGGATGCAGAAGTGCAGAGGGCCGCACTCAGAACCTTGCAATACGCTGTTTTGCTAGGAGCCAGCAAAGTAAATCCAGTTAGGCGATCCCGCCTGGCACATTTGGCATATGATAAGCCATCCACGTCATTTTGGACCAGATGGCGAGAGCAGCTCTTCTAAGCAGTCTGGTTCGCCTCCCCTCACAGAGAAGCCTGTACTGACTGCGCAGAGCTGCCCAAAAGAGTAGAAACCCCACTCAACCGCAAAGCTGTCGCGCAAGCACAACTCCACGCACTAAAACCCAGCCTCGCATGAGCAA